GAAAAGTGTGCAAAGATAGAAGTGTGAAGAATAATAAGAATAATAAGAAGAATAAAGACAAAGCCTTAGTTGGTGGGATATTATTCGATGACGCGAATTCCGTGCCTTATCGGCTTCACGGCTGACGCCGACGGCTTATCGCCGGCGTTATCTGCCTCACCGCTGCTCTCTCGGAACCCTTGCGTGTCCTCGAGCAGAGAACTTTAAGAGCTTTTCGTTGACGGCTTGAAGTTTGTTCAACGAATATCATCATTCGTACGAACGTTTCTGTCTGTCTGTCTCTGTCTGTCTCTCTCTCTCTCCCCCACCCATCCCCTTTTCATTTTCTCATTCTCATCACTCTCTTCACGTTTCTTTATTTCCAATATTCAGTTATTATACTTTATTTCGTTTCGACGTATTTATTATTCGCGTGTGTGTACGTTTAATTTTCTTACGTTCCTCCACTCGAGGTCAGCAATTTTTGATAAAAGAAAAAAAGAATAAAAGAAATAAAACGCGAACGATGCAACTAGAACGACACGCTCGAACGATCGGATTCTGACGTCCAACAGGTGTGCGCTGAGGTGACACTGACAAGCGTGATATTCCTAACGAGTGTTGGTCTTCTTCGTTAACCGTATTACTTTGGTCTCGTGTTTTTTTTTTCGCTGGAAGGCATAACGAAATCAAGGAGGAAGGGCCGAAAGGGCTCGGATATCGTTGTGAACATTCTCGACATAGAATCTCGTCGAAAGGAGTGGAGATGTCCGAGGGTTGCTGAGAGAATGAGGGAGTTGGACACTGAAAGTCCTGTCGTCTGGCCGGCCTGGTGTTATACTGGTGAGTTTTTTAATACCAAAAGCAAAAACAAAAAGAAATACTATTATTTATTTATTTTTTGTTCTTATCCACATTCTTTGTTGCTCTTTAAAATTGTTATTCTTCGTCAATCGGCAAGAATCTCGTTACGTTTAGTTATCCCTCCTCGTTTCGAACTCTCGTAATCACCGATGGCAGCCGATAAGAACTCGTAAATCTGTTTCAACTCGAGGTAAACCGTCTCTCTCTCTATGTTTGGCGCCATTGAAAGGCCACTACTCTTGTGGAAGCCTTTGTAGAGACACGTCAACAATATTATATCGAGCTCGTATACTTGTAACAGGATGCCAATCCTCTTCTCTCGTCTACTTACTTGAGTGTAGTTTAAAGAACGCGAAAATAATTTAACAGTAGGAGTCGTTGATATTCTCTTTGCTATTGGTTACTTGTTACAAATTGCAATGATTAACAAGTTTCTCTAATTATCTAATCAATGATAAAACGTTAGTGATGGTAGTCGCGAATTTATTTTTAATTATTATTTATTTATTTGAATGAGTGAGAGAAGGAATCGAACTACTACCGTTCGAAATGAACGCGAGCCAATTTCGTTTGCGATTTCATTTTGTACCCAAGAAGAATTCCTAAAAGGTAAAAGGGGGCCGGGTTTTAAGCCGGTGCTGTGATGTTGCTGATGGTACCAGGGTGCGAGCCAAGAGGAGACAGGAGCGAATCACCGAGGGTGTAATTATGGAGCTCGATCTTGACAATTAGGAACCCTTCGTGGCGAGCGGTAGCGAATGAGGGTCCTCCACTTAGCTTCCGCGACTTCCAAGCCTTCTTATCTCGTCCGATCGACCTCCGTTATTCGTCGGTATCTTCTAATTAAGAGGGAACCTGGTAGATTTCTTTCGCAATAAAGCTCTACCCAATCGCTAGCCGAAATATAGCAGCTACCCTAATCGTCGATCCTACCGTTTCTTAATTCGAACATTTCCCCCACTCCCGACATTCCCCCATTTTCGAATAGTTCAATCTTTTATGTTAACTCTTACACGATTTCTTTCTTTCTTTCTTTCTTTCTATTTTTTATCTGAACTTTCAACGAAGATAGATATAAAAAAAAATCCAGCAGGTATATTAGAGATACAAATGACCGTACGAAGAGAACTTTTCGATGGTTGTTGTTTTTTTTTATTTATTTATTTTTTTTTTGTTCACGTCTATCCAACGAAGAAAAACTCGGAGAAAATTTCAACTCGGTGTCACGTAAGTCGACGTGATTTGGCGTCAGAGACGATCGTCGGCGATTAACTGAAAGAATTCGTCGCGGTAGAATGGCGAGGTAATCGGTGAACGGTGTATCGGTTGACTACGTGCAACAAATGCCATTCTTAACACGGAACGCTAATGGGATTAACGTTAGTCCGCTAGAGAAGTCACTTGAATAATAGAATGAAAAAAAAAAAAAACTAGACAAAAATTCATTCTCTTATCCTTTAGTCTTATCTTTTAGGTCTAGCGAATCAAACGTCAATTTTTTGAGTCAAATATTTTTCCATGGTTATACAAGTTTCTTCAGGAATATCATGAAGAGAGGAAGGAAGGAAGGAAGGAAGGAAGGAAGGAAGGAAGGAAGGAAGGAGGAGAATAATTGTTCAAAATGTCGAACGAAATTGAACGACTTTATGGATGCGGGAAGTTAGTTTTATCGATAAAAGTCGACGAGGTCGATATCTCGTTGCGATAAGAAACGTTCTCGGCATCGAGCCAGAAAGATTACGACAAGGTGTTTTCTCATCTCCGCAACTTCTTTATCTATCGTTCGCATGAACGTTCTTTCAGACGTTTCTTTTTTGTGTGTTACGTTCTTATATAAAAATTATTGTTAAACTTATTTTCTTAAACATGACGAAGAAGAAGAAGAAGAAATGGAATGTAAATTTTTGTTGAAATTTTTATTAAGTAAGTGTTGTTCTTTCTTGTTCATCCTCCTCCACCACCTCCTCCTTCTACTTCTTTTTCTTCCAGTGTCGTGTCTCTTCTTTCAGATAGTCACACGAGTTAAATATTGGCTGTCGTTCAAAATACAAACGCGTGTCTTCTTGCAATCGGACAGTTGTCTTCGGTGTTAGCAGCTTGCCATTCGCGATTGACTTATTTATGGGCCACAAAGCATCGACTGCGTTGTTGGCTTCGGCTATCGATCTTCCGTACTTAAGTTTCACATTTAAAACTAGCAAAGAAAGAAATAGATAAAGAAAGAGAGAGATTTCGAAGTAGTGTCTTTACTAGTTAACGTTGTTTCTTGTCTTTTTCCACTTGTCGAGTGGATATTTTACAATTGTAGAAGGATATCTAACAAACACGTAATGTCTTTATCATTGACTATATCATAACTATTTTCTATGGATTTCATTGAACGTACATTGTGTTATCGTTTCTTGATAAAATTTTAAACTCAAAAATTGACGTATCATCGAACAAACAAAACTACAGAATCGCATTTCGATCACGTTAAGACTTGACTACAAAGAAAAATGATTAAACGTAATTTGATAAAAGGTACGAAACAAAATAATAAAAATAAAAGAAACTATTTAACGTTATCAAAATTGAGACGATTTTTGAGCTTTAATAGTAGAAGAATACTTTGCCGTTTATGTTAGTAACATTGGTTTGAAGAGAAGTACCGAAGAAATGGGACTAAGGGAGACCCTTCTTCGTCTTCTTCTTCTTCTACTTCTTCTTCGTGTTCGCAGCCGCGAAATAACGTCGGTGGTTTGTGGTTTTTCATACGTGCAAGAAGTCACAACGGGTGGATTGTAAGGGGCAAGTTGGATAGTTGGATGCATGCGCTAAGCCAAATGCCTCCACGAACGAATGAGAAGAGGAACAAGAGGACGAAGAAAAACGAGAAGAGAATGAAGAAGAAGTAGTAGAAGAAGAAGAAGTCGAAGAAGTAGAGGTGCCTTTTGTTCCCACCTTCGGACGCGGCTTTCTCAACGCGGTCTGCCACTTTTTCTCAGCTCTCTTTCTCTCTTCTTATTCCACGACTAACCTTAGTTTCTTATTTCTTCTCGTTCTCGCTTGATGTACCTTCTTCTCTTTCTATTGCTGTTGCTGCTGTTGGTGATGTTGCTACTGCTGCTTCAACTGCTACTGCTGCTGTTGCTGTTGGTGATGTTTCCAGTGCCCTTTGTCTTGAGAAAACACGATTAGGAATCTTCTTGTTGGTGCAATTTTGAGGCGGCTCCTGTTTCCTTCATAATGGCTTGCCTATTAGTCTCTCAAACAGCAGGGTGACTCCACTCTTAACGAACTCTTCTTTCTAATTTTTGTTTTACTATTTGTCTTCTTTCACAACAATCTTTCTCTAAAATCATAATATCACTCAATGTGTTGAGTTATAGGTGACAATTGACAACTCTTCGTTCATTTTCATTCATAACAAGATCTAGGAAAGAAAGAAGGGAAGTTGAAACGGGGTTTCAAATGTGTTCAAAGAAATTAGGTATATTTAAAAAGATTGAAGTCGAAAGAGATTTATCAAAGGGGAGAAGAGGGAAGTTGGTCGTGCCACGTGCTTAGTACGAATCTTGGCGCCCCTGTTGTCGTTCGAACAGGTGATAGAGAGGAGGGGGGAGTCCTTAATCGTTCCTGCGACGTTTTTATACCTCGAATCACGCTGCGTCACGTCGCTTAATTGCTGCCCCGTGCGAATACCTTGTGTTGAATGTGTTGCTGTACTCTTTCTCTGTATTCTTTCTATCTTTATTTATTTATTTATTCGCTTATATCGTTGAGAAAATAAACTATTCTTATACCTTTAGGGGAGAAGATGATCGAAAGAAATGATCAATTGTTATTATTATTATTAGAACTGAAATAAAGTAAGTAATAGAAAGAATGAGAGAGAGAGAGAGAGAGAAATAAAATCGCGGAGACGATAGACACGTCGATAACGAGCTAATCTAAAAAAAAAAATTGGAAAGAAATGGGAATAAGAGAAAGATGAACGATAAAACGATAACGTTTCTTATCCACCTCATAGAAAGTCGAGATGCATTTCGATAACTCGAAGATCTAAAGAAGGAAGCAGGTGCATCTCGTACGATTTACCTTTTAAAGAAATCATTCTATCTGTCTGTCTGTCTGCTTACCTGTCTGTCTGTCTGTCTCTCTGTCTGTTCGTCTTTTTATTTCTTTCTTTTGTAGCTTTTCAATCGTGGCATAATAAAAATCATTAGATCGTTACTGTATGTGTATCGATCTCGAATAGAAATTGGACTCCTTAGTCGGATCGAAGGAAATAGATGAAGAGAAATATTATCGGCGAGATGTAATTAACCCATTTGAGACCTATCCTTACCATATACGGTGCAGTTCATTAAAAAGAATTTACTAACGTATATATATATATATGTATATACATATACTCGGTTAAAGTTTTGAATATGCATGAGTTTCTATACTGTATCATTTATGGTTACAGGTCGTTCCTCCCAGAGCAACCAACCCTTAAATGAATTTATTTCTTTTCTTTTTCTTGTTTTTTTTTTCTTCTGACATATCTTTAATTATATTTCTAAGAAAAATTCGATAAAATTCTGTTCAAACGAGTATCGGAGAAATCTAAATGGGTTAAAGTCGAAGATAAAATCTTCTCGATTTGATATCTCTTGAAGAAGAAAGATATTTTTCGAATAATAATTAACGATCCAATCAATAGTCTAGAAATAGCGGAAGAGACATCGATAGTTTTAACGCGAAACAACTTCCTCCTTGGTCTGTACGATGGTAGGATATATAATATTTGTTAAAATTGTTACGATCTTTGCCGAGGGACACACGTTACCCCATGAAAATGCAAATTATATCTTTCTCGCGTAGATAAACCTTGTTCTTTTTATTTTTTTTATTTTTTATTTTTTATTACGATTCCAACTGTCACCGTTGATATCCACAGGCGTGAATAATCTAGTCGTAAAGGTTTCTCTTAAGCTCTCAAACCGAGACGT